ATATATATATATATCTTTTAAAAAGTAGACTCAAGAAGAGTGTATTTCTTTCGTATATTTTTATTAGACACATTCATGACCAAGATATACAATCGCCCGTGTGATATTTGGTTTAGGGTGTTAACAGTAGTTGAGTGGCCATGAAATGTGTATATATGAGATGATGATAGTAGGGTCCGTCTCATTCACATCACCACACCCTGAGAAACGAATAATACTTGGCCACATCTTTATTATTAGTTTGGATTCTCTAGTCTCTACCGCTAACAAAAGTATTTTTGATATTATAAATTTTTACTCACCACTACACTACACTAGCCTGGAAGTGTGCATGTGAAAGGAAGTTTATGGGCCATGAAAGAAGGTGCTCTCGTCTAGTCTGTATCATTCCTCAGTATACAATACAGTGTTTTCTGATCGATGCGCAACAATTATTGATTAAATAAAACTACTGCAACAACATGAACTTTGAAGTGTGTTCTCTTTAAAGCTGAATACAGTGTCTAGTTGGTTGCGCCAGTATGAATCAAGTGGTCTGTTTTCTGCATGTGAATGGGATCGTGCAGTATTTGACTTTGCTTTTATTAATGCTTACTGCTAGTGCTATACAGTATGGACCTTGCTAGCTAGTGCAGTGTGGACGGACCACAATCACAAAGGCCACTGCCATCAGAATCCACATTCAATCATCCTGTAAATCCCAAATCATAATATTTCATTTAGAATCTGTTTTGATATAATTTTAAAATATTTTAAATATTTTTCTATTAAAAATAAATAATTTTTTAAAACAGAAATTTTCAAGATCGTTTCTAAACTTACCGAAACATCCTCTTACTGCTTATATTTGATCAACATTTCGAGTTTAAAGAAGGAAGATAGAAATATGTCAAGTTACTTGATAAAAGCCTACCACTAAATCTACAGTCTTTTTCTTGGTACCCTTTGTGCTTTAATATGTGTACTAGGTCTTTCCCAAAATTATTAACTCATTTGCCCCAGTTATACTGTGCGAGTAACACTTGCACCATAAATAAGGGCCA